TTTGGAAAAGATGTATTCAATCTTATGTTTTGTGGAGGGTTTTGCACACACTCTTCTTAATTGATAATGTTTATTGTAAATGTTTTAATAATAATCACAATAATTTGTTATCTTCATTCTAGGTAGCCACTATATCCATTGTAGATATCACTAACTAAATTTACATGGAAGACAGAATCTACTGTTATATATTTTTCACTCTCCATTTTCTAGGTACTTTGTGAAATTGATGAAGGTGTGTGTGTGTGTGTGTGTGCAGATGGTGGAACAGGGGGCTTGTTTTTCTATGGGAAACTTTGGAGCATGTTTGTGGATAGTCCAATGGCTTAATTGAATCAAGTCATTTGCTTTTAATAGCTCTTCTCCCACAGCCCAGTGAAACCTAGACCCGTCACAAAAGATGTTAATCCTGGTCTTAAAATAGTGCCTTCTGTTGGGACCCACAGGCTGTGCCTTAGCAACTGGTCATTTCATTACTTCTTTTGCATACAATTTTAAGCGATAAATCTGCTAGTTCTATCATGAAGATTGGAATTGCTGCTCTCATAGCAGGAATTATTGGTGCTCTTGGCATTATCCTGTTTCTTGTAGCATTTGGAACAGAATATTGGTTACTTGCAACGGAGACCTGTGAAAGTTTTGACTCTAAGAATGGAACTTTAGACATTGAAGAAGAGGTAAACAGAAATCTAATGAATGTACTCTAAATAATTATGGAATTTCAAATAATTACACAGAAAGAAAACGTGTTTTAAAAATTAACATGCTAGCATTGTAAGATGATTCTTTGGATTTTAATTTTAATAGATGCTCTTTTTAAATTTTGTAAATAGTTTCTAGGATTGATTTGTAGATTGGAGATATGGAACACAGGATTATCCTTATAGGAAAGATTGGCATATTAAGTGGGATATATGACAGATAGCTTGAATACATTTTGTTGCATGTTTATAACGTCAAGAATATTATTCTCATAATAAAACCTAGCAATCTGGATTATTAGTTTGAAAAATGTTCTTATGGTTGTGATTTTATTTTTAGTTATTTTTTTGATTAAAACTAAGGACTGGATTTTCCAAAAATACAAATTTTTAACAGTTGGATCGACAAAGCTAAATTCAAGACTTGGGAGGGGAAATAAAAGCAAATATTTCTACCTAATCATTAAATTGATTCAAAATGTTTAAAAAACTTGCAATATTATGTTTGTCTAGATGAACTCTCTTGAGAAAAAAATATTTTCTCTTTCAAGACTTCTGCAATTTGCTGTTGTTTTGTTATAACTTTAGTCCAATAAGAAAGGCTATTTTATGGAAAAGTTTACTTATGAACCAAAACCTTTTTTCAAAGATCAAAGTCAGGAAACTCAAATATAATCACATTACAATAATACACATCATTCATTGTTAAACAATTGTAATTGTTCTTGCAATGTTTTCTTCTGGAAAAATATAATCTCTGAAGTGATTCTCCAGTAAAGAAGAAAAGCCATTGCTCCTCTTAAAGAGTCAGTACCACAGTGCTACATGGCAGCCTGAACCAAACTTCTCTGGATTGCTCTGTGTGAGGAATGTGGAAATGCTGATGTCTTCGTTCTCAGAAAATTCAGAGGTTGACTAAAGTTTTCTCTCATGCCATTATTCTTTGTTTTGTATCCCATTTTTCCTTTCAGATGGGCTTCCATTTCTGCAGTTCCTAAAGTACTCCATGCTCTTCACCCAGCATTAATGAAAACCTGCTGCCAGCTAAAGCTCTGATTTACTTATTTATCCATAGATGATGGGTTAATGTTAAAGTACTACCACTCCCAGGAGTATTTGTATTCTAAAGAGATGAAATGAATGCATTTCTAATAGTAGATTCAGGGAAACTTAATCTTGGCAGCAGGGAGATTTTCTAAGGGGATATCTTTTGGCATCTGTGATACCATATTACTTAGGCTGCCATGTACTCCATGTGCATCCGTGATTAGTTAGAAGTCTTAGATAGGAACTGTCAGTTCTCCCCAGGGAATAGTACTAGATGTCTATGAACAGCACTTTCAGACAACAAATAGAATCCTAGAATGTTAGAACTGGAAGTGACCTTACAAATCATCTGCTCAAAGCTGTAATAAGCACCAGTCACCTCATTCTGCAACCAGTGCTATTTTCATTACACTAAGTTGATGGCATTGCTTACAAAAATAGAATCTAAAGCAACCAGTACATTGACTAACACACATTTGACTCTCAGTTCACATTTACTGAATGAATTATACAGACAAGGAAATTAATGTTCAAAAAGGAGAAGTGACTTACTCAAGTTTGCTGATAATTTTATTACTTCAGGATATATTTCATATTTCCTGTATGTATGTAAGAAGCAAATATCATATCTGGAGCTGATGTCTTATAAATAGGAAATAATTAACAAGTCAATTAATTATTTAACATTTCTGTTGTCACTATAATAATTAATATGTTTGAATAAAGATGTCTCCAAGTCACCAAGAGTATATGGTGCTTAGCAGTAGCAGAGAAAATGAGTTTGTATTTGTAAATTTCATAGACATGTACTTCCTAACAATCACTTACACTCATAGAAAACTTTTTCCATAATGATAATTGTCAGCAAGGCATAAAAATATTATTTAAGCTAGCAAATGTTTTAATTATGGAAGTGTAAAAAGAAACCTTATTGATGATGGTAGTAATTATTATTCTGGACTATCTCTATACTGTTTCTACATTAAGAATACTATTTAGAATGGCACTTGCTGGAAATAAAAAATTGATAAAAATAATGAATCAGAAGATCTCAAATAGTGTTTATTTAATGCATTTATTTCTGTTTTCTAATAAAGAATTTCATAGTATAAGAATCTAGTATTACACTTACGTGGAGAAAGCAGAGAATAATATGAAAACATAATGTACATATTAGCTTTTCTTTTGTGTGAGGAAGACTGGCCCTGAGCTAAGATCTGTCGCCAATCTTCCTCTGTTCGCTTGAAGAAGATTGTCGCTGAGCTAACATCTGTGCTGATCTCCTTCTATTTTATGTGGGATGCCACCACAGCATGGCTTAATGAGTGGTGTTAATTCTCAACCTGCAAGTCTTGGGCCCCTGAAGTGGAGCACTAGAGCTTAACCACTATGCCACCAGTCCAGCCCCTGTACATATTAGCTTTTGCTTGTCAGCAGCATATAACATAGTCTTGTTGAGCAATAATAATAGAGGAACAGAGAGAGAAAAAGAAAAAGATCCACAGCTAATCTCTTATCTTATGTTGGTTGTCAATTCCCACCCACATTCTTCTCATAATACACACCTAATCATTGCTGCTAGCAAATGGAACAATTGAAAAATTACACCTGTAGCTTCTTTCCTAGTCAGCCACTGTTGAACTTAAGAATTCTCAAACTACTGTGTGCTAGAATTACCTGGGGAGATTTCTTTTTAATGTGATTTCCTGGCCTTCACTGCTCAGAGAGTTTGAGTCAATAAGTCTAAGTCTAATAATCCACAGTTTTAACATTTGGATCTTAACCATGCTCTTCTATACTATATGGCAAGAATAATTATATGGAAACTGAAGGTTAGAGAACATACCCAATATATAGTCTAGAGATTGAGAGAAGTATTGAAAGCTATCTTTACATTAACCAAATACATTAATCATATGAAATAGTCACATTCCTTTGGTTTTCACTAATATAGTTCACTTGGAAGCGTACTGCATTTTCCATGTTTTTAAATATAATTTTCTTTACAGCTATTTAAAATTAAAAGATTACACAAGTATTCAGAAATTATATTTAGATGGCTTAAGAGAATAAACTGTTGAATCCTCCTCAAACATTTAGAAACACAAATTTACGTTAGAAAAGATACCTATTAGTTAAGTTGAGCTCCCTAAGGACTGCTAGTAAACAATGCACTTTTAAAGTCTAGTTTAAATAACTATGTACTTGGAAGTAATAAAACTAGATTTATTAAAATACATCTTTTAGCCTAGACTTTCTACTAGTCAATAAGAGTACCTTGTACTCTTCGGCATATTCCTAGTCACAACACTTTGAAAATTTTTAACACTGGAGATACCATGGTTACAATATTTTTCAATGCATCTTTTTTCCTTAGAGACATTTTGCCCAGTCAGATTAGTGCAAATTAGCAACACAAATGGTGCCACTTCAGGATCTCAACTCATTGGCTGTGACCATGGAAAGAGGGCCTGCTATGATTGTTAAGTCAAAGTTATAGTGTAATGGTTCTCTAAGTTATTATTTAGGGGGATGCATAGGAAAAATATATAATCTTTAAGGAAAACAAAAATTTTAGAGTATATTTATGTGTATCTTAGTGAGGCAAATGTTTGATATTTTTTTATGAGAGCGCTAATCTCTCAATCGCACTGCACAGAATCAACGGACTCTTTCTCAAGTCCTTCTATAATTAAGGAGTTTGTGAAACCTATGCTCTCCATTTAAATTGCTGTTAATTAGGCAGTCAGTCAACCAAAGACATGAATTGAGCCCATTCTAGGCCCGATACGTGCATCTAATACCCTTATTCTTAATTTTTAAATTTTTGACATTTAAAACTTTTCATTACAAAGAAATTTAAAAACACAATAATAGAGGGAATAGTATAATGATCATTTATCTACCTACACCAGACTTCAAAACTATTTTTTTTGAGCAATGTAAAGCCTCCCTATTCAGATTAAATTACACTAACAGCAGCAATGGCACCACTTGGGAGCTTCTTGGAAATGTGGAATTTTAGGCCTCTTTCAGATGAGATAAATCAGAATGTACATCTTAACAAGATCTCTAGTCTATTTTCATACAAATTAAAATTTGAGAAGCACATGTACAAAGCAAATGCCAGATGGCACTTCCTATAATGCACTTCCTACCCTGCAGATAAATAGTATGTTATAGAATTCCATGCAAAATGAGATTTCATTTGTGGAGCCAAATTTTCAAAAGGTTGAATATTTGTTTTTATAGAATGATGAAGATGTGAGAGACCATGAGGAAATGTCCTTTATATACCATCATGAAGGCTTCTTCTGGAGGTGCTGGTTCTTTGGAGATGATCCACAAACTTCAGTCTGGAGATACTGGTTTAGTGAGTATGAGATATTACCATGTGATATTTTAAACGTATGGCCTCAGCTTCAAAAATAATATCTTATACAGGAATTGAAGGGGATATATATCGAGATGTATATTCAATATTAAAAGCCCAAGATTGGAGGGGAACACCTTCTGTTTTCATTAGTTGGCGGCCTAGAAGGCAACTGGTTAATTTGAAGCCATCTGAGTAAGATCCTACTTGCCATAGAGTCAGACACAAAATCGTCGATGTTTTCTTCTAAGATTAGATAGTTGTCTTAGCTGGTTACTTATGCCTTTCTATATAATTGTAAGTTGCTAAGATGTAATTAAAGTTAAAAATGTGGCAACATAAAGCTTCAAAATATAGGGGCTTCATTTAATTTATGCTTAATTATTTTAAAAATTACATTCTTTTTAACAACTGACCAGGGTTTCACCTACCTGCTGAAATAATTTTATGCACTAGAGACAGGTCTTCTAATCCTTGCTTTATCACTTTCTAATTGTGTGACCATTGGCAAATTGCTTAACCTCTCTTTGCTTATTTTTAAAACATGGCTATTTCCAACATGTTTATCAATGTTAATATGTAGCACTAATGAGGTTAATAAAAAAATTCAGCCCTGTCTTTTTCTGGATAGTCTGTCTCTCCATCAAGCTGCAAATCAAATTAATGGCAATCAATGAATTTAGGTTTGAGTAAAATTAAAAAGTTAAAACATGGTCATGGATCATATCTATTTAACTAGCTGATTTTAGCACATAATGGTTCTTAAAATAATATATTAAATTAATAAGAAGAATCTAAATACAAATAAAGAATATGATTAAGAACTCTAACACACTACTCCTTCAAGTACTCCTGGTCACTGTTGTAATACTAGAATGTGTGTATCAAAGAGCAAATGCTGTTTGTTTTTTAATAATCCAATAATTTAGGGATCTTATTTGCAAGTGTGCTTAAGAGGCTTTTGTTTCTATCAATCAGTAAAGTAATTATAATGTCGATACAAGTAGAGTCCTCTTTCAGAACTCATCAGCATTCAGATTTACTCAAAGAAATATTTATCAAGAACATCATATATTTACAGTACTGTGCTAAGCTAGGACGTCATTGGATGCAATCCATCTCCTTCAAGAGTTTGTTCACTAATTGATGTCAGACATAAACACATCCACAAATACCACAAAAAAGACAAGGATGTAGTTGATGTCACAAGGCAGTATAAGCTATATACCATAAGTATAGGCATTAAATATTTAAAAGGTCAAAGGAAAGAGAGGGATTTAAGAACTATGGTTGTCAGGGATGGTTTATTGTTGGAGACAGAAGTTAAATTAAGTCCTGAATGGTAGGAAATATTTGGGCAGAGACTTAGAAAGGTAGAGTATACTGACGAGTATGAATAAAGATAAAGAGATAGGAAAAAAGCTTCACACTTTTAAGACAGTGGGTAGATCACTCTGTCACTGAGAGTTCATGGAGGGGTGTGGTTGGATATCAGATCTGAAAGTATATTTGGGCCAGACTGTGAAGAAGAATAAATAAACAACAGTGGCAAACCACAAATCTGGTTATATAATGACTCAATTAAAATACTTTCCATTAATATGCTGTGTAAACCCTACCACATTTTTAAAAATTCCATTGTATTTGAATAATCTTACAATAAAAATGAAGATATTTGAAAATATCAGAAAACTTATATCCAAAAATGCTAGTAGTCCTTATGGTCTCTGTGCAAATTTGCTCATTGGGTAGAGAGTCCACATTGGAGAGAGCAAGCTGAAATGACTAGAGGCTGCCACCTGACCCCCATCATGCATTCATAGCATGAAGGCATCATTTGGGTCTCTTGTCCCCAATTTTGCTGAAAAAGTGCAGGGTTCTGCCCAGGGGGAAAGTTAGGCAAGAGATACAGGCCATAAGATCAAATAGCCCTGCAACTCTGCCTGAAGAACTGACTAATTTCGAACAGAGATTGGAGAACTCCTTGTCCAAGAGTGTTATCAAAAACATGGAGATCTTTCTGGAGAGAAATTAAGAAGAGGCTGTTAGCAATGTGGTGCAAACAAAACAATAAAGCAGACAGCAGATTAATAGGTAGACCTAAGAAAGACAACCAAAAAGAGTACTCTTGGGAGTACTGTCAATTCCAGGGGTTGGGAAAACTGTACACATGTGCTAAGCTGTAGCCACTCATAAGGAATCAGAGCAAGATGTGTAGGGCAGATGTGGTAGCATTTCCCAATACATACATCAACACAGAACTGAAGCCTGACTGGCATAAGGGGTTTAAACACAATCTATGATCAAACGCTGACTAGACAATAAGCTACTCTGACCCAGGGTCAACTCTTAGGAATCTAGGCTTAAAAATAATATCACATACATCCTAGAAATCCTAGAAGTCTGTGTACATGCCCAAGCCTGCACTCTCTTAGGAGTTATCAGAGAAGGAATCTCCAAACTACTAGTGCTTGGATGGACGTGGGACAAAAATACATTAAGTAAATCATGATTAAAGGATTAAAGGGATGCATTATGACAATGTCTCATCAAATTGTGAACATCAATAAAAAGAAATTATTTTAATAAATCATGATTTTGGAGTTGAAAGTTGGATAATCACACTGAAAAATTTACTACAGGGGCTCAATAGTACACTTGACATAGCAGAAGAAAAAAATCAAAATTTAAGAAAGTTCTATAGAGATGATAAAATATGAAGAACAGAGAGAAGGAAGAATGAAGAAAAAGAAACCAAGTGTCAGAGAAATGTGGGCATTATGAAGCGCAGCAACATATATGTAATAGGAGTGCCAGAAGACAAAGAGAGAAAGGGACTAAAAAAATATTTGAAGAAATAAAGGCAGAAAATTTCCAAAATTTGACGAGAAACTTTAACTTACATATCAGGCAGTTCAACAAATTCCAAGAAGGATAAACACAAAGAGATCTGCACCCAGACACATCATAGTCAAAATGTTTAAAGTGAAAGATGAAATCTTTGAAGAAGCAAGAGAAAATCAATTCACCATGTACAAAGCAACACCAAATAAGATTAATAGCTAACTTCTGTTCAGAAACAATGGAGGCCAGAATATAATTGAATGATATGTCAAAATGTTGACAGTTAAGAAAAAAAAAGAAAAAGGAAAAGAGCAACTGTCAACAAAGAGTTTTATATTCATCAAAATCATCTTTCAAAAATAAAGGCAAAATGACATTCCCAGGTTAATGAAATGGAGAGAATTCATTACTACTAGGCCTGCATTACAATAAATACTAGAGGAAGATTTTCAGGCTGAAAGGAAGTGACCTTACACAGTAATTTACATCCACACAAAAAAACGAAGTGCATTCAGTAAAGGCAACTATGTAGGTAATTACAAAATATAGTATAATCTTACTGTTGGGGCTATAATAGAAATTTAGTATATTTGATAATAATAGCACAAAGAAGGGTAGAAACATAGTTGTATTGGAGTAAGGAAATGACACCAGATGGCAACTCAAACCTGAAGGAAAAAATGAAGAGAGAACCAGAAATGTTAAAAAAAGATTAATACAACACATTTTATAAATATACATATGTACCAGCTCTTTATTTTTCTATCAGCTTTTCAAAAACATAAAACTATACGAGGTAATAATTATAACTATGAATTTATAGTTTTTAACATACTTAGATGCAAGAACTGTATGTGAGTTATAGCCAAAAAATTTAGGGAGAGGAGAAGGGGCGGAGCAAAATGGCGGGGTGAGCTGACCTGGGATTCTCTCCCCTCCAAAATACAACAAAAGATTGGAAGAACTGAATTTCAGAGAATAAACATAATGCCAGCTCGTTAGAGACCTACAATACCAAGAAGGCGGCGATCATAAACTTTGCTCACACCCTCGGAGGCGCTGGAACGGTAGGAGAGAACATCGCTCCCTCCCCTAGAGTCTGTGATCGCTGCGGTGCGGGTCGGGAAGGAGCGGGGGAGGGGCCGTGCGACCGGGGGATCATCCTGGACTCCTGCTGCTGATTCAGTGGAGACCCGCTGATGGGGGGAAAGCTTCCATCTGCAGGGACCCCATAAATCAAGGGCCTTGGGAGACCAGAGAACAGAACTGATCTGAACCCAGACCAGCGTGTGTGAGTAACAGCCCTCCCCCCACGGCAAAGCCAGTGGGCGCAGCCATCTTGCCCCAAGGCGGAGAGCTCATAATTCGCGGCTCTTGACCCCCCATCTAGTGGCGACAGGCTGTAACTGCAACTGAATTCTACCACCATGTGAAAAAACCACTCCTCTACCATCCAGCAATTTATAAAAGCCCCAGACCAGAAGGAAAACAATAAAAACATAGAATTAAGTCCAGAGGACTTGGAATTAGGTAAACTAAGTGATAATGAGTTCAGAGCAGCTATAATCAAAAAACTCAATGAGGTAGAGAGAAAGATAGAGAAACAAGCCGAGTTCTGGAGTTACTTCACAAAAGAGATTGAAATCATAAAGAAAAATCAAACAGAATTACTTGAGATGAAAAACACAATGGACCAGATAAAACAGAATACGGATTACCTGAATGCCCATGTAGACAACATAGAGGAGAAAATTAGCATAATTGAAGATAGACAGGCTGAATGGCGCCAGACAGAGGAAGAAAGAGAACTAAGAATTAAAAAAAATGAGGAAAATCTCCAAGAGATAATCGATTCAATGAGGAGTAAGAACATAAGGATCATAGGAATTCCCGAGAATATGGAAAAGGAAAATGGAGCAGAAAGTGTGCTTAAGGAAATTATTGAAGAGAACTTCCCAAATCTAGGGATCGATGGAGAAATGTGTGTAGAGGAGGGTTTTAGATCTCCTAGATTTGTCAATGTAAAAAGAGCTACCCCAAGGCACATAGTAGTAAAGTTGGCAAAAAGGAATGATAAGGAAAGAATACTCAGGGAAGTAAGGAAAAAAAAGAGAATACCCTATAAAGGAGCCCCTATCAGACTATCAGCGGATTTC